TAGAGTGACAGCTTTACCAGAGAGAAGAGCTGTTTCCTGTAACCCATTGTTTTGTGTGATCTTACTTCGTTACTACCTGGATCTTTTATGGTTGTATGTAAATTTTAGAGTAGGTTTATTACCCACACAAAAATCCTGCTGTATTTTTATTGTCATTGTATTAAGCAACAGCACTTGGATTTTATTATGTCAAACAGTGATGCATTTAGCAGAACAGCTAAGCAATTCTGGAGAAGAGTGAATTCAGGGAAGTTACGTGAGCTGATTTTAAGACTGGATGCTGCCCTGGCCATCAGAACAATATAGTAGTGGGAAGTGATGGGTGTGTGGGTCAGTGGAGCAGAACAGACAGTTCAGGATACCTCCCCTTGAAAACAGGACATGTTTCATAGAGACAGGAGATAAGCAATTCATTTGAGGAGGACAGTGTCCCTACAATAAGATTGGAATCGATTGTCATCCATGTATAAAATGAACTATGACCTAAACCTAAATTTATATGCAGATATTTTGTTAAAATATGTCATAACTCTAAATGTAAAACTACAAAAAAAACCTTAGAAGGAAACACTGAAGGTCTCCTTTGTGAATTGTGGTTAGACAATGGATTCTTAGATATGAAACCAAGTCTGTTGCATAAGATGTACTAAATGTCATCATATTTCTGAAAGCTAACTCTTGATAATTAAGAACTTTTGATAAGCAAGAAATACTAATAATAACATGAAAAGACAAGCCACAAAATTGGGTAAAGTTTGTTATGTGGTGAACATGGCTCTTATATTCAAAATATATAATGAACTCTCATAAACCAAGAATAGGAAAGCAAAGAATTTTACATTAAAACAAATTGGAAAAGTCTTGAACAGATAGTTCCACCAAACTACATATAAGACAGAAAATTAATGCCCCAAACCATTTTCAATATTACACACCAATAGGAAAATGAAAATTGAAAACTATTCTAATTATAAAAAAATTAAGACTATTCTGATTATTCTAATTGCAAGGAACAAAAATAAAAGTACTAGAAATGTCAACTGAGACAAAAATGTGAATCAAGTGGAATTCCACAATTGTTAGTGGGAAAAAAAGGACTTCATAAACCACTCAGGAACCATTTCCAATGAAATAAGCATTCACTTGTCATGTGACCCAGCAAAAAAACGTAGCTGGTTGTTTACCTCAGAGAATGGACAGTAGTTCTACACAAACTTATGACAGCTTTAAGTTGACAGAACTTAAGACTAGAAAGGTCCCAACTGCACTTAAGAAAAATGAATCAGTCTGTGATATGCACACACAATGGCATACTGCTCCTGGAAATCGAGACATAACCCACAGCTGATAGGGCCAACAACTTGGATGAATCTGAGTGCAGCTTGATGGCGTCAGCCTTGGAAAGTTAAATGCTGGGTGATTCCATTTGGGAGATTCCTGAAGACAGAGCTGTTGTGATGGAGAATAAATCCATAGTTATCAGAGGAAATGAGTTTCTCCTGACAGTGTTCTTACGGTCTCTAAAATCCTCTTCCATCAGCCTTCCTTGCTGGCACAGTGCAGTTCAGTTGCATGAATGATGTAGTGCTTTCATATATGCAACTAGTTCTTCGGAGGTATGTTTTTAAAGAGCCAACACCACTTTACTGCATGATTTTTTTAATAGATAAAAAGATTTCAAATCTCTCCTTTACTTGAACACTTAATTCCTCTCATAGTTTCTTCTCAAAACAAATAGACTTCCCCACCAGGGAGTGCAAATCTCTTTTAAGGACTTAGATTCTAAACAGCGATTACCAGGAAGTTCTGATGAAAAGCAGATTCTTGGGAACCAGGTTCATCCAATAGACTGGGCTTAATTATTCAAGTATCACGCAAATTGTTAGGTTTTAGTACAGACATTTCCAACAAAATTTGTTTTATTGTCCTCAGTGAGTTCATTTCAGATGGTACAGGGGCGTCTTTGAGAATCCTGGGAGTGTGAATGTGCATCTCATCTCTGCTTGCCTACCTGTCTCCCCCACTTTTATTATGTGGGTGAAATCACTAATGCCTCATTCATTCCCTGAGTAGTTTGTTTCCTACTGCTCCCTCTGAGGTCATGTTCAAGTGCGCAACCCAACTGTGCTGTTGCGTTTCTTCAGATTTCTCCTGGCATTTATGTTGCCTACAGACCCAAGGTCATTGTTTTTGTTCAGAAGTTATTGGCACCCTTCTCCATTTTCACAAATTTTCTTTAAAATTCTAATATTTTAATCAGATTCTTTCCTTCACTCCAACTCCTTCTATATTCTTCTCACTCCATACCCATCCAACTTCATGTTTTTTCTGTTTCTCTAAACTGGTGGTTTGCAACCTTCCTAATGCTACAACCCTTTAGTGCAGTTCCTTATGCTGTGGTAACATCCAACCATAAAATTATTTTTGTTGTCACTTTATAACTGTAATTTTGCTACTGTTATAAAGTGTAATGTAAACATCTGTGCTTTTCCAATGGTCTTTGGTGACCTCTATGAAAAGGTCATTCTGGGTTGTAACCCACAGGTTGATAACAATGGCTCTAAACAAACAAACAAACCCCAAAAACAAACAAACCAAACCCAAAGAAAGCACTGCTCCTGAACGTGAGCCCTGCCTTGGAGTGTGGCTCGTATACTTAGTGTCGCTTCATCTGAGAAAACTGTTTTACCCTCTCCCTGTACCTGCACATTGCAAATCACTTCTTAGAGGGTTGAACTTTGTGCCTACTTCCCTTCTTTTTTCCTTTCTTCCTTTTTAAAATTTAAGTTAGAAACATGCTTGCTTCACATGTCAATCCCAGTTCCCGCTCCCCACACTTCTCCCCTGCCTTCCCCACCAGGCTCCCCAGTCCCCCACCCAATCTGCACTCCTATCCTCAGGGAGGGTGGGGTCCTCCATGGTGGATCTCCAGAGTCTTTAACTGTCCAGATCTTGCATAGTTTATCACAGTCTCTGTAAGTTCATGTGTGTATCATTCCGATGTGCCTGACTCAGGTCACGGACTCAGAGAGACAAACATTGCACAGTTTCTCATATGTGTGGATGTTAGCTTTTAAGGTTTAGATAGGTGTGGTTTATTTTGTGTATTTTAGTTGGAGTGCGTTAAAACTTGCTGTTACTGGAGATTGTTTCTTTACTCTGCCTTTTCGCTGATCTTTTTTAAATGTTAAGAACTGTCGCTGGTTGTAATTACTGTGGAATTTGGATAAGCTATTCCTCTCAGATGTTTTGCTTGCGCTGTGTTGTTTCTATTTCTACGAAGAATTTCTGGAGGTTGTGATTTGTACCCTGTATCCCTTATAGCACCTGCCATATCATGAATATCTTCTATACATTCATCAGAAGCTTTTAATGTGATATCATTTCCTCTAACTAAGTGATCTCATCCCCGCTGGAGAATTGAGAAAATGGACTTATAATGAGGTGACATGACTCTGATCCAACAGCAAGTATATAACAAAGTAGAATTTGAACCAAAGAGTCCATCTCTAGATCCCATGGACTTAGTCTGCAGTACTGGAGACACCAAGTGAATACTGGGAGAATCTCTTGCTTGTGATGATGGGCAGTAGTCATGGGCTACAGAGACCCATATTCAAATGTTCAGCAGGCTGTAGTCATGTGAACCACCATGTATGGGGAGTAGTTCTTTCTACTACTTAAATACCTTGTCTTGATATGAGGTGGTAGGAGACAGAAAAGCACTGCGGGCTGCACTAGGCTCTCAGCTTTGGTCCTCACCAGACGTGGCAGCACCAGTACAGCATATGTCATAGTGTCCTGATCGTATCAAAAGGACATTAGGAAGCATTTGGCACATAAGACAGGGGCATTTATCTCAATTTGGTTTTTATTGGTTTTCACATTAATCTAACCTGTTGCATCTGATCACAATGGCATTTCCAGTGTGACTATACATGTATCTGTGCAGCTGTCCTTACCCACACTCCCAATCACATATCCAGTTCACATCATCAGGATGGGTCTCTTCAGCTTGCTTTGTGGAAGGTTCCATTATGGAAACATTGTCGGTTCTTCTGGAGGGGTACAGAACTCTCATTTTTGACAAAGGTGTTTTCTTTACACTCAAGTGAATATGATGGTGTAGTGATCAAAGTTCCAAAGAGTACATTTGTCATTCAAAACAGATATAGAGTTTGGGGTGATAGCTCAGTCAGTAGATCAGATTGTACAAGCACCAGGAACTGAGTTGAGATTCCCAGCACCTAATAAAGTAGGACTTATCCGTTATCCCAGGACTGGGTGAGGTAGACAGGAGGATACCCGGAGTTCATTAGAAGGCTGATGCATCATTGGTAAGTTTCAGTGAGAGACCCTGTCACAAAAATAAGGTACAGAGTGGCTGAAGAAGCATCCAACATCAACCTCTGGCTTTAATACACATGTACACACACACACCCCTGACTTTGTGCAGTAAGATGGTACATTTGCAGTATAGATTGGCATGTACATAAGGATTCATTTGAACATAGCAATGCTTTTAACTGTAGGTACTCTTTTATCATCTTTGATGTCACAACAACTCATTTTTTAGATGACTACATCAGATATCACCCAATCCACAATGTCTAAAATACCCATTACTTTTCCAAGTTCAGCAAATATTTGGTGTTCCTCTATTTACAGAAGTATACGTAGTGTCCCCCTTGTTTATGGTGAAGAAATGCTAGAGTAACTGCTTTAGCTAATGTCTTAGCTTTGATATCCTTGGAGAGGAGGAAGTAGTCTATCTATGAAGCTTATCTTCAATCCAATAATCCTATTTATTACTTCTCTATTACTGCTGACTTAAATGTTCTGTTTCTTTAAAATGTTTTTTGTGATGTCTGTGAAATTATGACCTTAATGTTTTGATTCTCATTAAGGGATCAAGAGTAAATTTTCTGTATAAGTTGCCCTTGGGTATGCCCTTACACAGTGAGACGGCTCATGTCCTCTCTTTGTGCTCTATCTTGCAGAAGTCACTTACTATTTTCTACTAGAAGCACACTCTTTTGAAGAGTGGAATTCTTGATTCTTCATGCAGTCATGGATATGGATAAACCATCTGTCTGGGGGTCATTAAAACAGAGGACCAGACCATTGTTAATCAACCTGAGCAAGAAGAAAGCTAAAAAGACCCCAAGCAAACCCTTGGATTTAAAGGTGCAGCATCACCTGGACCGGCGTCTCAGCCTCTCGGTGCCTGATCTTCTGGAAGCAGAGGCCTTGGCCCCCGAGGGTCTGCCTTACTCAGGGCCACAGTCATCTTACACCTCGGTTCCCAACAGCCTGTCCACGGCAGGCATCGTCCCCAAGAGCAGCAGCAGCTCCTTGAAGCAGTCTGAGGAAGAACTGGACTGGAGCCAGGAGGAAGCAAGCCTTGTCCATGGGCTGGACACCGACTCTGAGGAGATCTACGCCTCTTCTGTGGAGGAGAGGCCGGCATCCAGCCAAAGTGGCCTGGATATGCACAAACAACCCCTTGGGGGGGATGCTCCTGAAGAGCCAGAGGTGAGGCCTGGGTACTTCCCAGCTTTAAAAAAATGTTTTTAAGGTGCAGTCATTGTCCTTGGGAAATTTGGGTAGGAGCTATTTTGTGGTTATACTGGATGGGAATAATGTCATTTACGAGAATTTAAATTAATGTACTATTGATTGCACTGGTGTTCCCATTTGATTTAGGGATGACCTCTATATATTTAAAGGCCAGCACAAAAGAACCTTCTAGGACCATTTCAGGCTTAAAAAGCCCTAGTGGGTGAGGCTTCTTTGCTTCTTCTCCTGGCAAAGAAATTGAGCACGCAACTTTAACCTTTTGTAATTTCCTCTTTCTCCTCTTCCTCCCTCCCTTCCTCTTCTTCTGCCTCTCCCTCCCTTCTTCCTCTTCCTCCTCCTCCCCTTACCCTCAATATATTACATTTTTCACACTGAGGTGAGGAGTGGCAACAAATGAGAGCAATAGAGCCTCCCCTCTACCATTACAAGCTCAATCCGACTTGTAGATACCTCACGCACACTGTCTTCTTCCTAACCTAGACTGTAGACAAAACACACAAACCATATATTTTAGATGGTATACATGTTTATCTTTGACTACCAGATCACAAAGGATGCCCTTTCCTCCTGTGGTATTAGGTCTGAGTCAACTTGTGCACACACAAATTCTGAGAACTTCCCTTACCTCTCTGCACAAAAAGATAATAGAAGTCAGTGATCAAACTTTCATTGATTGCTGGCTTTTAGCAAAGCTTCAACATTTCAGGAAGGCTAAGTGGTCAGTGTCAGTGCCAAAGCTCATGGATTTGGAAGAAGAGTTTAAATTCAGTCACCAAGTTCCTAAATCCTGATTTGAATGATCAACCAACTTGGATATTTTTGTTTGAAGTCTTCTCAATTAATAATGTAGAAATGGCTTCCAATGTTGATGAAGCTAATTTTTTATGTATTCCATATTATTCTTAGAGTTGTATAAAAATTTATTCTTCAGCTGAAGGTTCTGGTTTTACTTTTAGATGATAATCTGTGGATCACACATTGTGTCTGGATTTCCTTGGGGAATGGATTCTGGGAATGGAGAATGCTGGGATCATGTTCTTTTGGACATTGTTACTCATTAAGTGGCTTGTCGATTTTAATTTTGACCTTAATACTTAGGAGATATTGTTTGTAGAAATCATATTTGTAAATTTGAAATGTTTCCATTTTACAAAATGCTAAGAAGGTAGATTTAATAATCTTTGTCAGTATATGAAAGGAAACCTGTTGATTGTATCTTGAAATTGTCTTCAACATCTTTGCATTTATCTGAATCTGAGTGGACTTCTTGGCTTTGATATAGGAGCAATTTCAAATTAGTAAGATTTTTGAGCTATGGATACTTAACCACATTAGTATAATCCATGTAGTCCAAGCGTTGAGAAGGATGTTTTTGGAAACTGATGAATGCCACATCATCCATGATTGTGGGGGACAGGGGCAGGGATGGTCTAGTGTGTGCTCTGCACAGTGCCTGAATCTTCCTGTTTCCTTTAGTACAAAATAGGTCTGTCCACTCCCTAAGATTCCAGTGTTCATTATGTGGAGGGAGACATTTCTGCCTCTGCCTCTGAGTTGCAGAGAGTTCAGGGCTAGGAGAGGAATGTCTAATTTTTCTTTTCTGAAGGCCTTGCTCTGTGCTCATACATAGCATATATTCAACTATGCTTAATTAAGAAGAAAATCAGTGATGGCAATTGACCCAGGTTAATGGAGTTGTATATGTGGGTTTTCAAAATTGATTTGTTAATAGCGTTTATTACTTAAATTAAAAATGGTCTTCATGGTGATTTTTTTTTTCTGTAAGTATATAGTGTGTTCTGGTAATGCTGCTTTTGTTTGTAGTCATTCCCCCCTCCCCTTGATTCAAATCCTTTTCTCTACTCACCTACAATTTAGTTTGTAAATACGTTTTTTAGATGCCACATTTGAGAGGAAGTGCGTGGTCCCTGATTTTCTGAGACTGGCTCATTTTGCTTAATAAGATCTGCACTAGTTTTACCCATTTTCTTGCAAATGGCTTGGGTTTGTTCTCCTTTATGCTGAATAATATTGCATTGTATATAAGAGCATATTTCCTTTATCCTTTTACCTGTGCCTGGTCACTGGCCTTGTTCTATAACTTGGATAATTTGGATAGTGAATAATTGTACCATGGATGAAGCTGTCTATTGCCTTCTCATGTTGAGGTTCCTTTGAATGGCCAGACTTTTTGTTGTTGTTATCTAATACTTGTTTACTTTTGATTTTAGTCTTTGTATTTCTTTCTCTTTTCTTACTTGCTTTTAATGTTTATACTATAGACAATAGTGGCTTCATTATGATATTTTTGCAAATTTACATAATGAATTTTGATCATGTTAATTCATACCTTCTCTCTTTCTGCTCCAGATAATCCCCTTCCTATGTCCTTTCCATTCCCCATGTGCTTTCATGGATTTTTTTTGTTATTGTTGTAATTTTTTTTGTTGTTGTTGACCCATTAGGGCTGCTTGTAAGAGCATGAATGGGTGAGGGTTTGTGTACAGAAGGGTGGGCACCTTACCAGTGGTTTTGACACTGAACAAAATAGAAGTTCTCCCTCTCTCTCTGAAGCTATTAGAACCATCAGTGTTTTTATCATGAGTTTTCTTTTTTGGCTTATGAGTTAATGAAATCAATACACTTTTCTTGAAAAAGTACTCTTAAGTTCTCCATTCTATAAGATGTCAGCTGCAAGTGCAGAGAGGTCTATGAAAGTGGATTATGTCCTAATCCAAATATTGTAAGAACTTGAAATCTGAATTTCTGAATTTACTTCATTTAATGATGATGGAAATCCTGATAAATTTGTGTCATTGGAGTCTTGATGTTAGCATATCTGTCTCCGTGGATCCGATTCATGTTTGTCTTGCTTTATAAATAGTCCACAGATGTCTATAACTTTCAATGGATGGGGGAGAACTAATATGGATGCTGCTGGTTGTCATGTGACCAGCCTGGTATACAACAGGGATATTAGAGGTTTTCAAGCATCCTTGGTGCAGGCCATATGGCTTGTATCTTTCCTGAGGGTGGGAAGATGGTAAATTCTGTCGTCTAAAGGACACACTATGCAGCTGTCCTGCCTTGTTGATGTCATCCAGAGCCTGCTGCCTTCTCAGAAGACCTGGAGTATCATGTCTAGGTTCTCCAGACACTTTCCAGAGCCGCCAGGGTCAGCAAGCAAAGGAAAAGGTCAGCTTACAGTTAGAACACAGAACGAGAAGACAGGAGGAGGGATAGAGGTGAAGGTATGAATGGGATGTAAGGTCCACAAGACAGGTAGAGGCAGGAATTTCCACACAGATTCTCAGAGCAGCCACAGCAGCAAACTGGAGAAAACAGGCTTAGCAGAGGAGGATTGGGAAAGCTGGACTCCACCAAACTGGTTTTGATCCTCAGAGTCACATGTGTTGATAGCTTCAGGAAACATGCCCTCAAGTCGTGTGAGCGGAAGTCATCTTCTCCCTAAGGGCCCTCACACGTACATTGCAGGCTGCACCACCGTTATCTGTCTACTAGCCCAGACCTCCAAGTGTTAAGGTGGCACTGTTCTCACTCTGGGAAGCCTTTTTCCATCAATATATGATTCCTCCTTACTTTCCCCTGTATTCTCCTCTTCTGGGAAACCTTCATAGCCAAAAACCTCTGTTACGGTGTTTTCCCACATCTGTACCCAAATGTCTTATCCTGCCTTCATTTTTATAGCAGTGTGCTTCCATGCTTTCGGGAAATATCATCTTTCTGCATTGGCTAGGAATTTGAGAACTGTTGATGGCTTCCACGAGTGGTATTTATTTTAGCACCCATTCCACAGTGAGGGCAGAACTGCAAATGAGAACTTGATCCATTTTTCCTGGACCAACAGTGTTCATTTCTACATGGGATCTGGCCTGTCTGATAAAACCAGAATTCTTTATGTTTTGTGGCATAGGTTGTCCTCCCTCTGAGCTTACCTGAAGTTACCTAGCTTTTTTAATGATACATTGTTTTACTTGTTGTATGTTGTTACTTATTTAGGCTATATATTAGTTACTTTTTTGTTGTTGTTGCTGTGACAAAACACTGAGAAAAGCACCTGAAGCAATCAAGAGGGTTAGTTTTGCTGCACAGTTCAAGACTCTAGTCATGTCAAGCAAGTCATGTTGGAAGGAACTTAGATAGAACATCATATGAGATCTGCAATCAGGAAGCAGAGCAAGACGAATGTGAGGCTCAGCTCCAATCATTCTTTACTTTAGTCTAGGGCCCTGACCCATGGAATGATGCTTCTTATCTTTAGAGTCAGCCTTATCCTCTTAGTTAAGCTAACATAGAAACCCACTGAGACATAATCCCAGAGATTTGTTTCTGTGATTATTCTAAATCCTAGCAAGTTGATGATCACGACTGACTATCATCAGGGGCTAGCACTCTGATGCAGCAGCCCAGGAACTACACCTCTCCTTTTGTCACTTTGCTGGGTGAAGAGTTCAGTTGCTAAGGATTCAGGTGTGTGCACCTCCCTCTGTTTATACACTGAATTCCTAATCCCCCATATGATTGTATTGGAGACAGGGCATTTAAGAGATGATTGAGCTTAAATGAGGGTGTAAGCATGGAGCCACTCATGGAATATTACTGATGTTTTAATGACAGAGGAAAGTCCTGGATGGTTTTTTTTAACCATGTCAAGACCTGTGGAGAAGACAGCTATCTACAAGAAGTAAATGGCCTCATTGAGTACCAAACTTTCCAGGGCCTTGATCTTGGATTTTCAGGGTCCAGAACTATGAGATATCAGCTGTGTCAAGTCTCCTAGTCAGTGAGACGGCACTGTAGAAGCCTCAGGTGACTAAGGTTGTGTCTATTGGTCTTTATCAGGAGGTGACTTCATTGTTCTTGCCACTGAGACTGAGAACAAAAGAGTTGGTCAGAGAGCCTTAGAATACTGAAAAGCAGAAAGCCAGTAACAG